CAAGACGAGGCACTAACCCAAGACGAGGCACTAACCCAAGACGGCAGTTTTAAATCACCAAACATAACAGGAAAGGAAATAATCCTACATTCACTCAATATTCTGTGAAAAAAATTGACTGCATCACCGGCTGTCTGATGCAGCATTTTGAAACTCATCAACTAACAAGTCGGCTGGTCCCTCTCCTCTTCAGCTTAGAGGACCCGGGACAGACCACAGGACAGTTTTCCATCTTGCCTTAGTCTATCTTAGATGAGTTCAGGCCCAGAGAAGTTGGTGGTGTTTCTGGATCATGTTTAGATATGGTTTCTTCTTTACATGGTAGAGTTTCATCCTGCATTTGTGGAAGAGTTCAAGGACAACGGCTTTCAGAAGTGTTCCTGAGTCCATGCAGGGACTTACATATCTCTTTTAACTAAATATGGGTTTATATGATTTGCAAATCACTGCATTGTTTTATTTACATTATACACAACATTCCAACTGTTTTTGGAAATTGGGTTGTAGAAATTTTCCTTTACCTGGCAAGGAGATGCAAGTTTCCAGCTGAAAATTTCGTCAAGCAAAGATTAAATAAAATAATAATGGACGGACAGACAAACAGACAGACATACAGATGGAGAGACGAATAGACAGATAGATAGCAACCGAAAATTGATATGGGTTTCCATTTATTTCCTATGAGACATTTTGACCTTGAAGTAATCCATTGCAATTGTATTATGCACACAGAACCTGTGAAACTCTAGAAAAATGAGAAATTTTACAACAAAAAGTTACTCTAAGAACAAGAGTAGTAGTTGGTAAAAAATAATATGGTTTTTTCCCCTGGTAACATATCATTATACCTGAAAACACTTCTATAACTATTAGTATTTTCAATTTTCATTTCTATCATATATGTTTGTTTTTATATATTAATATACAGCAAATTCTACCTTCTCAAAAACCAGCATTTTGACTATTCCTTTACAACATATATTCATTCCTTAGATACAATATGAATGAATTTCTACAGCAGAGCAAACATTTCAACAGCAAAAAAAAAAAAAAAAAAAAGTATTTACTTGGAATCACAAAGTTAATTATGTAATACTTGTTCATTATAGGCAAAGTAATTCAAAACACTATTAAAAAAAAAAAAACAAAAAAAAAAAACAACAGGATGTAGCTTTGGCCTGAACCCCTCTGGCTTGTGCAGCATACAATACAGGTACTAACACGCCTCTTAACGGTGCCCTTGCAGTTCGGATATTAAAACAAAAACTTTATTTATACATTTTATATACAACATTTATACTGATAAATGTTATATATGATATTATACATAAACATCCATGGTGAATCTTGCAAGCAGTGAAATATCTTCCTGATGTCATTTAAGACTCAACACTGACAGCCTCTAGTATTCTTTCTCTCACCTCTCACACGGACAAGAAATGCTGGAGAGAGAAAATCCCATAAAGAAAGCTGGAATGTGCATTTAAAGCCCTCTCTCTGTCACACACACACACACACACACACACACACTGGCAAAGTCTCATTGGCCAAACTGAAAGGCAATGCATTCTGCAGCATGTGTTGGCACATGTTGCTGTACAAATGTACTGATATGAAACCTTAGACAGCACCACCTGTTTCTGTGAAGAGAGGTGATGAGTTTGATGTGGCAAGTAGGGGGGGGGGGGGAGACAAAGGGAAAAAATGTAAATTATACAGTACATGAAGCAAGGACACTGGGATAGATTAGATAGGGCCAGTGGGCATTCAGAAAGCTCATGATATAAAACACCCCCATCATCCAAAAAAAGCTTTACTTGCACAAAGCCCAAAATAGTATGTACCTGTGGCTTTCCAGTAAGAATGAGTATTAATACTTCCAGTCTATTGCTTTGTGAACTTTCCAATTAATAACCAGAAATAAAACTGTGGTGGTTATTAGAACCTGAAAGCAAAGGTACCGTAAATCCATGAAAAAAAAAAAAAAGTTGTGCAAACTGCCCATTGAGCACTATTTTTTTCGTGCATCTCAAACTACAGATCAATCTGATAGAGTAACTGTGGTTAGAGAGACTCAATACACTGTAGAAAGGGCCGGAACACACACACACACACACACACACGTCAGTACGCACAGGAATAGAGCTGACCCCTAGCTGTTAAAAACAGGAGTGGGTGTAAGCCCAGGATCTCACACGCATGCAAACAAAGCACTGCTATGCATGCAAATCCAGTTTTACCACCCAAAAATCGACTCTAGCGAGAGCATTTCATCACACACTTGCCTCTTGGTGTTAAAGGCTAAAATAATAATCTATGATGGACACAGTAATGCAGTGCTGAAAGGGGGCGGTCAGGCAGAGGAGTCCCACAGACCACCGCAGGCCCCCACAGACCACCGCAGGCCCCCACAGACCACTGCAGGCCCCCACAGACCACCGCAGGCCCCCACAGACCACCGCAGGCTCCCACTCCCATCCTCTTGCCTAATGAAGGACAAAGTGACTAATGCTTGGGTTCTGACCCCAACACCTCCTCCTCCCACCAGAGTCTCACTGTTAAAGGACATTTTTTTAAATTCTAAAATCTCTAAAATCACCCTCTCATATAGGGTCATACAAGCAAATTTACAGGACGAGAGAGAGCAGGAGGAGGGTTTTGGTTGGTTGCCCTATCCGTGACTTTCCTCTTCTGCGGTGATGTCCTTGCTCTTGCTTCCACCTGCGGGGTCCAGCAAATGAGAAATCAGTCCTTCATGAGCCCCCCCGGCCATTCTAACCCGAGGCACTATGTGTCAGGCCAACAGATTACGTCGCAATAGGGAGGAAAAACACAAAACAGAATGACAGAAAAACAAAAATAAAAAAATTATATAATGCACATTTTCAAGTGGGACATTAACGATTATTGTGCATAGTACAACCTGTGAGAAAATGTCTGAAACAGGACTGTTTCCATAGAGCGTTCTAATACGACAGCTGTGAACACCACAGGACTTGGCATCGATTTGACAGAGCAGAACGGCGAAATGTTGCGAAACAGCGGCCACTTCAGGTCATGCGTGGAAAACACTCACACAGACACATCGAACTGAAGTCTTCAAAAGTGAAACAGGCTAATTAGTATCTAAATGAGGACATTAGCAGGGGTGGAAGCCAACACTGCACTGCAGTGTGTCTGTGCTTTGGGTATGCGGTCCCCACAGCAGGAGAAAACAGGTGAAACAGAAATGATCGGTTTTCACAGTCTGGGTGGGCGCAAGCAGTCACTGGTTAAGCAGGCGGGCTTTGCGTTTACCTCATGCAACGTACACTAACAGTAGTTCTCAATTTTGTCAAAGAAAGATAAGTGGGCAGGAAACTCTGAGGTGACCAGACAGAGAGCAAGAAGGCAAAAAGGGAGGGAAGGAAAAAGGAGAGAGAAAGAACAGTCTTAGTTCAAATGAAGGAGAGAAAAGACTGAAAAGAAGAGACAGTAATATTACTATTGTAACTGTACTTGTAATCATGGTGCTGAAATATTTTAATTAACATTAAGCATAACAAGGTGGTGTTGGGGTTGAAGCTGTATCTGCTGTAATATGAATCAGTAAACACACAGCTGCCCACCTGTTCATAATTCACTTGCAAACATTTACTTGTTCTTTTTACAAGATTTGGTAAAATTATGAAGCAATCATATTTTGCACGTGGCCAGTGAAACATCCTGTGATGCTATATTGTTGATAAATTGTTCAGCTGAATGAAAGGACACACAGCCCCCCCCCAGCCCCCCCCCCCGCTCTCCTACCAGGGTTGGTGTTCCGCTCGTTCAGCAGCTTGGTCTGGCTGTTTGGCAGGATCTTGATCTCGGGTGGATCGGGACTCTGAGTCACTCGGGAGGCCATGAGGGCATTCAGGTACTGCAGCCGTGTCACCTGCAGGCAGTGCGAGCGAGAGAACCAGCCGCCCCCACCCAACCCGGGGTCAAATTCTCTCCTGAGGCTCCAAGCTTGAGCCTCACTGCTGCAGGACAGCCAAGGCTAACAGTCACGCACAGTAATGCCATTATTGTCACTGCTTAATACTTCCTCATTGCACGATGGATTTTAATATGAAAAATACTACTGCTAGGGTTGGGTAGTTATCTGACAAAGAATACAGTGTCTCATTCCACCTGTTGAGATTCATGACCATACATTGTTATTACTCTGTATGTGAATATTGCAGTTGATGGTTTTATTTTTCTTCCCCAGGGTCATCGATATTTGTCATATAACCATTAAAGGAAGTTTGAAATATCTCTTGTCAGTAGCATGACTCAGGAAAAAATGGCGAGGAACAGACTCCGCTATGTCAGCATTGCAGGATGCCAGGACTGAGCATTAGCCCTGTTAGAGCGCTGCACGTGCCACATTAGCCGGTGCTAACCACATTGGCTTCGTGGGCTGGCTGAGCAGGGAGTGAGTTAGCCCTGTTAGCAGTCTAAGTGTGCTCAGCGTTAGTCACATTAGCGCTATAGTACAGGAGAGCAGGGGGCAAATTAGTAATGCAAGTATGCTCAGAATTAGCCACATTAGCACTACGGGCTGGTCAAGCAGGGGGCGTGTTAGCCCTCTTAGCATTGGGAGTGTGCTCAAGATTAGCCACATTAGCGCTGCAGGCTGGTTAATCATGGGGCGTGTTAGCCCTCTTAGCATTGGGAGTGTGCTCAATATTAGCCAGATTAGCGCTGCAGGCTGGTCAAGCATGGGGCATGTTAGCCCTGTTAGCACTGTGAGTGAGCTCAATATTAGCCACATTAGCGCTGCCGGTTGGTCGAGAAGGGGCATGTTAGTTTAAATACTAGAACTCGTGGCCATAGGTGGAAATTAGCGGGAGAACATTTTAAAATGAATTTGAGAAAGCACTTCTTTACACAGCGTGTAGTTGCAGTATGGAATAGACTCCCTGTTAGTGTAGTGGAAGCTAAAACCATGGGTTCCTTTAAATCACTGCTAAATAAGATTTTAACAACTCTGAGCTATTAGTTATGTTCTCCGTAAACGAGCTCGATGGGCCGAACAGCCTCTCGTTTGTAAATTTCTTATGTTCTTATGTTAGCACTTGGGCTGGCTGCTGGAGCTCCACTTGCTAACTTAGCCAGAAAATTTGCTACATGACACTGACCACTTGTCATGAATCTCATGATGCACCAACACTCACTTTGATGAGCTGCAGGTCTGTGAGAGCACGGACAGTGTAGTCTGGACAGTAGCTGGATGGGCTGGCAGCCTCCCCAAGCTCAAACGGATCACGGGGCGAGCGGCGCTGAGTGGGCACTGGAGACTGGTGCACTGCATGCACATACAAAACAGTCAGTCGATCATCTACATCCAACTTAAAGCTTAAGTTTCTTTCCACTTTCTTCCCAAATAAATAGATTTTTTTTCCATATACACAGAAGTTAATTTTCCATTCACCATGATTTACCTGATGAGGGAGCTGTCAGGGCTGAGACACCATAGTACGTGAAGGCCCCGTTCTCAAACTTCAATGCTTCTTTCCCAATCTCCACCTCCACACGTCCCTTTGGAGATACGTGCAATTAATTTCTGGACAAACTTCCAACAGTTATGATAATAATGAAGTTTCGAAGACGATTGAATGTCAACTTCATCCTTCAAATAAACAAATGAACTCCTGACCATACATTCACTTACCTTTGAATGCTATTAATCATTGTTCTATTTCTTAAGCTATGCTCTTATCCAGGGCAACTTGCGATCAGTACAAAGTATAGGTGCATGGACCTGGAGGGAGAATCCCATCCAATCCTTATGCTAAGTGAGACACTCGTGAGGTGAGTAGGTGAGTTACGTAGCACTGCATGTGGTATTTAGAAGCAATATACAGAACTAAACGCAGAGCAGCAGTTAAGGGACCATATTGAGGCCCTATGACCAGCTGGATTGATGCTTAGTAGCAGGGGGCTGCATTACAACAGACGGCCAGCAGTGGGCGCCGACACTCCTGGCATCTGAGGAAGCCCCCTGGTGGAGCCTAACCGCTGCACAGCAAAGCCCCCGTACCTGCAGCAGCAGAACGAAATAGTCCACCGGGTGGTTGCGGGTGTACAGGTAGTGTTCTGGTCGCAGTTTGTTGCCAGGGTCAAACTTCACCTCCTGGTTGACACTGGGGTGCTGCAGCAGGCGGAAGAGGACCTTCTCAGACACGCGCTGCGGGCTGAACAGCTCCACCTCTGTGGGGGGGGGAGGGGACAGATGGCACAGGATAAAGGGTGGGGGTGAGACTAAACCCTGTGGCGACTAGCGGAGGGGAGGGGGGCGCACTGACCCCGGGAGAGGAAGCGGTGCGTGGCCAGCAGCAGCTGCGGCGAAGTGCGGATCCTGGGCTCCCCATCCGGCATTTTGAAAAGGGAGAACTCCTCGTGGCAGGACTTGGGCTCCAGGGCTATCTCCAGAGGAGCAAGGGGCCGCTTCACCTTCGTCTCCACTGGGCGGGAGGGTCAGGGGCACAGAGAGTGGATTAGGGGTGAGGGGGTCAGGGTGACATCATAAACAAGCAGGACTGGGGACTGGACCACAGAAATGATCCAGCAACATGAGAGAAGTTGGAGGGGGAACGTGATAGGCAGACAGAAAGATGGAAAACGGGGGCAGCGGTGGAGTATTCAGATATGTTTTTCTTACGATAGAGCTCAGTATAGCATAGCTATGTAAAATCTATTCCTGTCCTGCTTATTTTAGATTGCATCAAAGTGGCTGGGCTGTAAACAGATTACAAGACCACATAAGACCTCATTGAACTAATAACTAAATATTAAGTTTACTCTCCTTAAACATAATTTAATTTAATGATTAAACTTTTTTCCCCTCCCTCCTTATTCTTATGACTTATGTACCCAATCGCCCATCTGACAATTAACATCTCAAAGTAATCCGAGACCTTTAAACACTGTAGATGCAAGTGCTTATTCAATTAGAAACTTTCAGCATTAACAGGACAGGAGACGATACCTGGTTCTGTGTTCCGGTTCGGACGGCTAAACATGGTACACTAGTTTTCCTGGTGCCTTGTAGCGGAATTTGTCTTGCAACCGTTTCTCCATACATTTCATTATATTGATTTAGCATGTGCTTTTATACAAAGCGATATATGTATTTTTGAAAAGCAGGGTACAGAGTTTATGGATCAACTGGGAGTAAAGGGCCTTGCTCAAGAGTGTGTTGATAAGATCACTTTTCTGACCATGGGATTTGAACCAACTACCTTCTGATCACAAGCGCAGCGTTCTAACCCACTAAAACACACAGTTCCCCCATGTGTTCTTGGTAAACGTTAACACAGTCACTCACTGTAGCCATCAGACTCGTCCAGGATCTCCGACTTGATGATCTCCTCGATGACGTCCTCCAGCGTAACCAGGCCCAGGACCTCATAGAAGGGGTCACCCTCACCCTCATTGTTCACCTTTTGCACGATGGCCATGTGGGAGTTTCCTGAGGTAGACAGACAGTTAGCCACATGCTCTGTGTGGGGGTCGCAACCCCCCAGTGCACAGACTTGTCATAACAAGAAACTTTAAATTGTGTAAATACCTTAAACAATCCACTTGCGGTCTCAAACCTTCCATAAAAGCTTCACTTGGGGACTAGCATCTCAGTTTTCTGAGTTGCAAGTTTTCAGACTCTCTGATTCAACGCCAATACATATTACATATAGTTCCTGAAGGCTCTTCATGCATAGAACCACATCAGTTCTAAAGGTGGATTAGGAAGGCAGATTAATCAGCTCACCTTTCTTGAACTCCTCCAGCATGGCATCCAGTTTGGTGTCATTGAAGACAAAGTGCAGGGGATGGTTGTAGAACTTGGTGATCGTACTCATGGGCGTACAGTCCTCAGGGTCAACCAGTGCCAGGTCCTTAACATACAGAATTTCCACAATGTTGGAGCGCTCTTCTTCATAAACGGGAACTCGTGTGTAGCCACTCTGCATGATCTCCGACATGGTCCCAAAGTCCAAAACGGCGGTGGAGGGAAGCATGAAACAGTCTTTCAGGGGAGTCAAGATGTCCTCCACTGTTTTGGTCCTGAGAGCACCTCTGCTGAACTCCTCCTTAACAAATTCGTTGTAGGGGTCGTTGACATTAGTTCTGATCATCTCCATGGTCTTCTCACGTATGTTGCAAGTGCTGATGTCTCTGCGCAATATCAAATCCAACAGTAGCCCCAGGGGGCAAGACAAAGGGCAAGTCAGCACCATGCAGATCTGGGCGATCCATGTCATGTTTGGTGCGAGTTGGAACCCATACCCGGAGCATATGATGTGCGGTAGCAGTTCAGCCACCAGAAAAGTAAGGGCGCCGCATGCAAATATAGCAGAGATGATGCACCCTAAGACGTGGTAGAAGAGTATCCCAAGTGCAGCATGGCCCAATGCGCAGATAAACAGCAAGGAGCATATCAGGAAATTACCACGTCTCCTTAGGGGTTCCAGGCGCTTCGCAGCTCGCTTCTCCTCCTCAGAACCACAACTGTGCAACACGTAGAGCTCCAAAGGATCAAGCCAAAGCAGGCTCAGGTTCAGGATTTTAAACACGCTACATGCAATGATCAGCAGGACTATGCACAGGGCATATCCCCACGCAGGGAGAAACGGCCCAGATGTATTCTCGACAATATGTAATCTTTCCGCTCCGACCGATACCCAGTTAACGCCTTTTAAAATGCACAACTTATGGTATTTGGGATTGCTCTTCTGCTCGCCGTCCAGCGCAGAGGAGATGCTTTTCTTCGTCTGCACGGTTATAAGCCCGCTATGATTATCGGCCGCCTGGAAGTCGCTGACTTGGAACTCGGCCGAGGTCCGGCGGCTCTCCTCCTCACACGGGTCCGTGTTAGTCTCCCTCGTAGCTTCAGCGAAAGCGACCCACGGCCAAGTCCCATTAACCAGATAGAAGCCGAACAATCGCAGCCGAAAAGAGACACCGTACGGCGCAGAGACGTCCCGCCCCTTCATAGAAACTCCAGTCTTGGGCTCCTCCAGTCGCAAACCCAAAACCTCCGGGGCTTGCTGGCCGTAGGTGCCGAACCCAAACCCACAAGAGAACAATATCATCAACAAGAAACGTAAGCCTACCGACCCGACCACCATATTGGAATTGGGCAGCTGGGCTCTGTTCAAGTCACGTGACACCCAGCCCGACTTACGAGCGCCTCCGACGCCGGGCAAAGCGATCGGCGGGAGGTGAAGTCCACGACTATCTTTTATGGCACACACTTCACCTTCAGTATGCCTTCTAAAAATGCTGTCAACTACTGCTCAGTTCAAATAAGCGCATCGCGGCTTTCTTGCCATTGACTTTCCCAAGTCGCGGACACCACGGCAGAAAACCGCTTCGCTTTCGTCGCCATTTTGGCTCAGAAGCCTCGGTATATAATAGGACGCGCGGTCTCTGTCGTCGAGCCACAATGGACGCAGTTTCTCGTTGCCCTGGCTGTCTTCTAACTTGAGTTTGGCATACATATCGTGTAAACAAGTCCCTCTTGTTTAAAGGAGCACCATAAATGGTACTAGCATTAAACAAGTGGTCTTTACTTGCTCTGTTTTGCCTAGCTCATATTCACTCGGACACCTCAATCGATTGCTTAAGTAATTATTTCTAAGACTAATCTCCTTTCAGTTACCAAGTAACAAAAACAATCCACTTCAGGACTTTAAAAACACAACTACGGTCCGCTGTTAATAATTCAGGAATACACTCTGCCCTCATTCTGACCGATATATGGTCTGCAAGCAAAGTGCATATTTAAATACATTAGAATATTGTATATAATAGAAGATAAGTTTACTTTTTGCTAGAAACATGACCGCACAATTCATTGTGGTAGTTTAATGCTACAGTCACACCTTATGGACTGATTTTATATTTTAATCCATTTCTGTTAATCTGTTTTAGCCTTTACTTATTAAACAGGCAAAAAGGTGTATATGCCACTAAGCGATTTAGGTGCTAAACCCATTGCTGTCTGCGGTGTGCCCATTGCTTGGGGGATAGGGTGAGAACCCCGTGACTGCATAGGGTTATTGGGTATAGAGAATGGATGGATAGATGGATGAAAAAATATTCATTTACTAGAAATGTGGTTACACTTCTCTACCGGAAAAAAAACATAAAACATCCGTTTTAAATAGAGAAATATATCTCAGGTTTATTAACTTTTCTTCAAAACTGCTTAGGACTGTTAATTATAAAACATTATATACACATTGTCTTAAGGTAAAACATGCAAGGAAGAAACAGTAGACTTACATTTTAAAGTCATTCCACTCTTCTCTCTTAGCTTACATTAGATAAATAAAAATATTGCTTGTCAAAATGACTTGTACAATTCATTCAGAGTACAAAAGTGGCCACTCTGAAAACTACCATACCCAATCCTAAAAATATGACATTTCTTTGTATTATAACAATACCACAATTGGCAATGTAGGGATTGTAATTAGGGAATAAAAGTGAATGATTTCAACAGTAATTCTTTCACTGTTTTTTTTGTCTGCAAATGGCACTACAAAAGACAAGGGGCGACCCTGCATGGTCTCCAGTCATTTCACTGATGGAGGGAAGTAGAGTTTGGGCCCCAAAAGGCCTTGGTAACATAATCATTTAGGAGGGGGGGGGGCAGATTGAAGCAGAAGAGCAGAAGTAGATTTGGACAACTTTAATGTCCAGGATACCATCTTCCCTTGATAAAGTGCTTAGCGTGTCAGTCTGTATTAGCAGTGGCCTCTTGGCAACAGGCCTCACTACATAAGGTTGGTCAAGGGAAATTAGGCAACCCAGATAGCCATTCTGGACCGTGGCATGTTGGAGCAGCAGTGCCCGGGCGGGGGGGCTCAGCTGAGTTTGCCTCAGCTGGCCATAATCGATTTTGCTGACTTACATGACTCACATTATGCCACCTTGTAGTTCAGACATAGTTTAGTGCCAGGGAATGGATCACTTAAAGCAGGGGTCTCCAGCTCCGGTCCTGCAGAGCTACTGTCCAGCAGGTTTTCTATCCTACCTGGCTTCTGATGAGCCACACCTGCTCCTGGTATTTACCTAAGAACAGGTGTGGCTCATCAGAAGCCAGGTAGGATGGAAAACCTGCAGGACAATAGCTCTCCAGGACCGGAGCTGGAGACTCCCCAGCCTTAAAAGGAATGCGATCAAACCCTGGACCTAGACAGAGATGGAAGTCAAAGCACAGACCCATTACTGAGAACCAGATCTCTACTGACGTGACGGGGATGGCGTGATGCTTGCCACCCTTAGCAGATGCCTTTAACCCACGTCGGGGGGGTCGGGGGGTGGGGGGCGGCATGGAAAATGGGTTGATCGTCTGGAAGTCCACTTTCCAAAACTGATGTATAACTATCAAAGCAAGCTTACCGAACTCTGCCGCTGAATGAGCTAAGGGCTCTAAGCTTCTCTGTCACAGTGTTTCTGGAGTTTAAAGTTTTGGGGATGAAAAGCTGCTTATCGTGTCACATTAACAGCGCAGGCCCCGGGGGTGAGGAATTTCAATATTTCAAACACCAGGAGAGTCATTCACCTTGGACTAAGCCAGCAGTCCGTAGGATAACTGTACACAATGAGGGTCGTACCAGATCTGCCCCCCTCCCCCCATGAGCACCTCTGGCATTCAAATGCGTGGATAAAACTGAGACATAATTCTTTTTTTAGAATCTCTCATATTTTTTGTTTTGTTTAATGTTAACTAAACATTTATACAAGTACTGAAAAAAATTATTGGTACTTTTAATTTTTCGATTGATCTGCGCTGAGTATGAAGCGCTCGCTGTCAGATTACTACCTGTGCGGCCTGCAAAAATACACTTTTACAAACATAAAAATACATGTTATTTATTGCTACTCAGTTCGGCTCCATATGCCAATAAAAATAACATTTACTGAACCATGCGAAGGTGGTTTTAGCTCCCCCCCCCCCCCCCCCCCCCCCACCCCAGTCCATTGTTTACAGGTTTTTGTTTTTAATACCAAGCTGTCAGCAATACTGAACGATGCATTTTTGCACTCCAGGTTTCTGCTGAAATACATTGGATGTTCTTTTTTTTTTTCCTAAGTCTTGTATCAGTCAAGAAAGTCCAAACTGCTCAGCAGCTCGTCCAACCTCCATCTCCGTAACGGATTGCAATAGCTTGCCTGGAGACGCAGGCCGGCCAGTACTGTCCGCCTGTAGAGTTTGCCTGGAGACGCAGGCCGGCCAGTACTGTCCGCCTGTAGAGTTTGCCTGGAGACGCAGGCCGGCCAGTACTGTCCGCCTGTAGAGTTTGCCTGGAGACGCAGGCCGGCCAGTACTGTCCGCCTGTAGAGTTTGCCCATTACTAAGCTGCAAACCAGTCAAACAGCAGGATGTAGAGTGAAGCCATCTTGTCAGAAGGCAGGACAGACTGTTCCTTCTGGAATGAAGTAACTGAGCCGCACATACCTCTGGATTAAGCTTTACTACGGTATGCGCTAATTTACCTTGGGCTTAGCCTCCTGAATGATTTTCAAGTAATATTGATAATTAAAAAAAAAAAAAAGTTCACATAAAAAGCATCACTACCTCCCATCTAAACTGGTTGAACGTTGGAAAAAAAACATACTGTGTGAGTTTAATATCCTTCAGGAGAACCACCAACTACAGTTCAATTCCATGATCAACATGTACAACTTTACTGTCACTGAAATGGCGTTTGGTAACTCAGATCTGCACAGAGAGATGACCGTCGCCTTATTTTCTGATGGGGAATCCCATGTTAATTGAATTTGATTTATACCCCCAGTACCATATATGGGACCATACAACATGTGGAATGTATTTTTGGAAAAGCTATCACAATTAATCTGTGATGGTTGTGACCGCTCTCTACCAAACAGGCCTGGCTACCTTCACGTGAAATGACACCGGGGGGGATTTGGTATACAGTCTCACAGTGGTTGTGAATCAGGGTCGTCTTCGGGAGAAGCCCACCCATTCACCATTATCAAAGAGGCCAGACTGGCTCAGGGCTCGTGGACTGGAAGGACCCGGGATTAGCTGCCCTGCATGTGCCTCTTCTTTCCCTGATTCCAGATTAATAATAATTTAATTAATAAATAAACTCTTCCCTCTTAATAAATACGCCGCTGAAGTTATAAATACTGCTACATCACTAAGAGACGCCTCCACGTCGCTGAGATGGAAGGCCTGAGAGGGAGCTGGCCAGCAGGGCCGATACTGTGGAATGCATTCCCACACTGAACTGGACGCAGTCCCCACCAAAAGGGCACTGGGCCTTCTCCACAGTATACTCCCTCCAGAAGAACCTTTAAATGATAAATAACACATCTGTCGCTTTACCAACAGTAACAAAACACCGACAGAACAATTACTGTATATTAAAAAAAATCAAAAATGTACAAAGTAAATAGTATGCAAAATAATAAAAAAAGCAATTATGTATATATCATTTCTATATAGTTTCTGTCTGGATGTACATATTCTATACATTGAATGTACAGATCCAGCTCAGCAACCCAGTCCTAAAGCCAGACCTTAAAGGGCCCATGCGTTCAGAGCTGGAAGCTGATTGGCTCCCAAGGTGAGCCGCCACTCTAGGAAGTGACAACCCAGAATGTACCCTGACGGTTTTGGTATCCTCGGCAACCGGGACTCATTAGTGTGCCATTTAAGTTTACCTCCTTCCCTCCTACCAGGGACGCATGGTTAGTGATCAGCATAGATCACTTTGGAGATTACTTTGGAGATCACTTTGGAAATCACTTTGGAGATCACTTTAGATTAGGAGAGCGCTAAAAATCATGGCTTGTCTCACATCAGAGTGCTGTGCCCCATACTGTGATGTACGTGGAGATGTTCGTAACATGGAGTACATAAATATTGTTCTTTTCCCTACATATAAGATTAAATTGTACTGTTTATCACTAAACATGTTTTGGGACTGACTTCCTGCTCAATGCCACCTGCTTACGGATGGCTACCATTCCGGCTAACGTTTAGTCTCCCTGAGTCACATGGCTGGAGGGACTGGCACAGCTCAGCCATTGAAAAAGCGCCCCCCCCCCCCAATCCCCTTTGGCCAGCAAACATCCAGCATACAAAACAGGCTAAAGAGCCAGCAGAAAAGTCATGAGAAGACGGACAGG